GGGCCAAAGCTTCTCCCACCGTGAGCCACTGGCTCCTCCTCAGGCCCCACGGCAGGTCAATGCCATCCCAATGGTGGCTTTAGGGCAGGACCTTCCTCTGTCTCCTCCTGAGAAAGTCTCCCAGACACTGAGTGCCTCAGCTTGGCATGGCCTCCTTTTGGGCATCACTAACTGTAGGGTCCCCTCCTACCTTTTCTCTGAATTTTAAAAAATAAATTCCCTGCACTAGGATAGAAGTGTGAGTAACTGCTCAACAGAGGAGGACAGGGCATCTCCCCACCCCTGTGGCATCCAGGGCTCCCTGCGGCCAACACTAACCTCTCCTGGCCCTCACCTCATGTCCCTCCAGCCCCTCCTATAGCCTTTGTGTCCAGGTGAGGCAGGAAGTCAGGGCCAGGGATAGTACCCCTCACACTTACGCCTGTGGGGTGGCACCAGCAGGTCCAAGGTCTTCTGAGGCAGATTGGCCCACACGGAGGAGATCTCCTTCCTCAGCTCTGCATCACACTGGTGTTGCTTTGTCCCAGCTAGGCCAGGACAGCAGTAGGGAGGGGGAGACAGTCTTTAGGAGCCATGTTGCAACCCCTCTGGGGCAACCTGGGAGAGCTGACCTGGGGAAGGTGGGGCTAAGGCTGTGCTAGAAGGGAGGGAGAGACTAATGTGGAGCTGCCAGAGCCTTCTGCCAGGAGCCTTCCCAGAGAGGAGGCAAGTGAGCTGGGCATCCAACCGGCAGGTCTGAGCATGTCTGAGTGTGTGTGCCTGCCTGTGTCAGCTACGTGTGTGTGGACAAACACACACTGTGTGGGTATATTTGCACAATCCATGCAAGCAGGTGTGTTGTATGTTGCATGTGCATGAGCGTGCATGTACATGCATGTGTGCATGGGAGTGGCAGTGGGATGTAGGAGGGATATGATAGTCCCCAGCACTCCCCTGCTCATCCATCGACATATATTAAGCACCCACTGAATGTGAGGCATTGTGGTACCTGACACTACCTGAAAGTAATGGGACAAAAAAGCCAAAAGTCCACCTCTGTGGAGTTCACATTACTTCACAAATAGCAAGAGCCCGCCATGACAGATGGTGAAGGGTGGCAGGAGAGCAGGGGGGGTGGGGGGGCAAGGAGCATCAAGAGGCTGCAAACGTGGGCAGGGTGGTCAGAGAAGCTCTGAGGAAGGAGCATGTGTGTTCCAACCTGAAGGCAAAGGGCCCAGCACGTGGGTCACAGAGCTGGGAAGGCGGCATGTGCAGTGGGGTGAGGCAGGCAGGAGACAACGGGAGGACCAGGAGGGTGTCAAGCACAGGAACAGAATAATCTCACTTTGTAGACCATGAGGCCTATCCAAGTGTAATTCACATGTGGTAAAAGACTCTCCCTTCCTGGTTACACTACCCTGTGGATTTTGGCAAATGTGCATACCTACATGTCTACCAGCACAGTCACAGGGTGGAGGCAATGGCTGCATCACCCCAAACTCCTCATGGCCCTTTGTGAGCCAGCCCCCCAGCCCTGCTCCCAGGCCCTGAACCTGCCGGAGTGTTTTGAGTCTCTGCAGTCCAGCACCAGCCACTGTCTGACTGCAGCCAATGGATCTGTGACCGGCCCGCATGCTGCATGTGGAGCCGCCATCTCCGCAGAGTCCTTCCTGCATAGCTGGGCCAGCTTGTCTAACCATCACAGCCAACGGGCACACAGGTTGTTCCCGTTTTCAGCAATTACACATAAAAACATAAACACTGGCCAGCTGGTGGCATGGTGGCTGGGCTGGCTGGATCCCGCATGGCGGACTGAGCGAGCGGTCTGGGTCCTGGACTCGAGAGATGTACCAGGCATGTGTACGCCACGCCCAAGGTCCCAAAGGGATGGGTGGAGGAGATGATGGTGGTGGCCATGCTCCTGGAGCTGGGGAGGTTTCTCACTTTCCCTCGGTGTTTCTCTTTGGCAAGTGCACATAACCTATAGCAAAACCAAACAAATGGACAAACAAAAAGTAAGCATTTGCATGCAGGTGTTGGTTTGGATGGGATAGCTGAGCAAAGTAACTGCAAACTGCTTCATGAAGAGGCTGTACCATCTTGTATGAACTCCAGCCACCCTACGCTCTCACCACCAGAGCACTGCCAGCTTAAACGCATCTGAGCCACTGGAGCTGACAGGTGGCATGGTGGTTAAAGGTGCTGGATTCCCACATGGCCAGCCATGACTGGCGTCCCAGACAAGGCACCTTGCTTTCTCACTTTCCCTTTTTCTCCCTCTCTGTCTCTCTCTCTGGTCAAATTTTAAATAATAATAATAACAAATGGAATCAAATAAATAAATACATTTTTAAGGTTTTCAAAAGCATCTTAGCATCGTAATGGAATATGGTGTCTCATCATGGTTTTACTTCGGATTTCTCTAATGATTTACAATATTGAGCATCTTCACATGTGACTATTCTCTTCTTATATATCTTCTTTGGATACATGTCTGTTCAAATATTCTCACAATTTCAAGTTACTTTCTAATTACAGAGTTTTGATCATTCTTGATATATATATAAAGGGACTTCAAAAAGTCATGTAAAAATAAAATTAAAGAACAAGTTTATTTTGGTGGAAAAATTTTAAAATCCATGCATAGTTTTTTTTATAATAAGCATTTCCATGAACTTTCCAAAGACCTTTCATATTATAGATACCAATATATCTATCAGATATGTATTTAGCAAATGTTTTCTTCAAATCTTGGGCTTATCCTCTCATTCTCTTTGAGAATCTTTTGAGGAACAAAGGTTTTAATTTTGATGAAGTTCAATTTATCCATTCTTTTTATGGATTACACCTTTGGACTTAGAAATGTTTGCCCAATCTGCAGCCATAACATCTTCATTCTGTTTTCATCTAGGGCTTTCAGAATCTTACACCTTACACTTAGATAGATCCATGATCCACTTCTAATTCACTCGTGTAGAGGGTGAAAGGGATACTATGGTCCGAACTGTGTCCCCCACAGAATTGGCCTGCAGAAGCCCTGACCCCAAGCATGACTATTTGTGGAGACTGAGCCTCTAAGGAGGTGACCTCATATCTTATGACCTTGTACTCACTTGGTTTAGCAATTTTGAAATAGACTCAAAAGGATTTTTTTTGCATAATCATGTAAATTGTGAATAGAGGCAATTTTGTCTCTTCTTTTCCAACCTATACACCTTTTATCTTTAAATTATTAAAAATAATCTAGTTTATTTATTTGCTATTCCCCCCTTTTTTAAAAGAGGTTGTTGCTATAGGGCGCGTGCGCTCGCCAGACAGAGAAACAGAGACAGAAAGCGAGAAATCGCCCCCCCAGAGGGGATGGTCACGCCGCAATCCCTTCTCCTCCATTCTCCTCTCGGGATTTTGGGCACACACGCACATGCGCCCAGCGTGAGTTTTAAGCCACCGGGTCCAGGATGCGAACCGCGGTTGACTATGTGGGAGTCCAGCGACATAGCCATTACGCTAACTGCTGGTCCCTTGCTAGTCCCTTTGTGAATGAGAGACAGACACCCCACCCAGGATCTTAATGCATCCGTCCACCCCAATCCCAGGCAGTCCCTGGCCAGGAACACAAGCATGCCTAGCATACTTGGGGAGTCTCAGGATGTGAACCCAGAACTCTTCCGGTGGTCAGTCTCACAGAATGTCACATTTTACCACGGTACCAATATCTGCCCCCTCTTTCCTTGCCATATTACGCTAGCTATACCATCAAGGACAATGCTGGATGAGTGATCACAGCAAATGTCCTTGCCTTGTTTCCAGTCGCAGGAGGAAAGGAGCCAGCTCTGCTTTGTCAAGTACAGCATCAGCTGGAGGTCTCTCATAGACATCCTATATCCTTATAAGTGATGTGATAAGACTGAGGGACTTTAAATGTAATTTCTTTTAAGGTGTTTGCCATAGGGTACACGTGCTTGCCGGAGAGAGAGAGAGAGTGAGAGGGAAAGTGAGAAATCACACCCCAGGAGTTGGTGGCCATGCTGTAAGCCCCTCTCCTTCATCCTCCTCCTGAGATTTTGGACACACATGCACATGCACCCAGTGTCATTTTCAAGTTACTGAGTCTAAGACTTGAACCACAGTTAGCTGTGTGGGAGTCCAGCATAATAACCACTACACCACCTGCTGGTCCCTAAGTATAATTTTTTTAAAATCACAAAAGGATGTTTTGTATTGTAAAATGCTTTTTCTACATCTATTGAGATAATCACAGTTTTCTTCTCTTCCTCCCACCCCATTCCTCTCCTTTTCTTTCTTCCATGAGCAAGAGAGACAGAGAGAGAGAAAAGAGACAGGCACCCCAAATAAGGGCCCCCATGCCATGATTCAGCTCCAGCCCCAGGCCCCAGATCACAGGTACAAATGTGCCTGGCATGCTCATGGAGGTCTTCAGGCACAAACCCAGAACCCCCACTTAGGTCATTCTTGCAGAGGGTTGTGTTAGCACTGCAACACCTTCCAGACCCCACATTTGTATGGTAAATCACATTGATTGTGTCATGTTAAACCAACCTTGCATTCCTGGGATAAACCACACTTCTGTCATGGACCATATTATATACTTTATTCAGTGCTACACTGAATTTGCTAAAGTTGTGCTGAAACTTTTGTATCTACAATGAGGGATGTTGGTGTGTAGTTTTTTTACCATGTCTGTCTGGTTTATGTATCAGAGTAAAACAAGCTTCATAAGATAAATTGAGAAATATGCCGTGTTTTTTCATTTCCTGGAAAAATTTGTACAAAATTGATAATATTTTTTCAATAAATGTTTGGTAGACTTGGGGCCAGCAGGTGGAATGGTGGTTAAGGCTGAACTCCCACATGTCCAACCATGGTTTGAGTCCTGGACGCAGTGTTTTGAAAACCACACCAGCTGCATATGCATGCATGCTCAAAATCCTGCAAGGAGAATGGAGGAGAAGGGATTGTAATGTGGTGATTTCTCACTTTCCCTTTCTCTCTCTGTCTCTCTCTAGTGAGCACACATGCCCTACAGCAAAAACCTAAAAGAAAAAGTTTGGTAGACTTAACCAATGACATCGTTGGGTCTGGAATTTTCTTTGTTGGAAGCTTTTTCATTACAGATTTAATTTAGTTAATAAATATAATATTACCGAGACTTCCTATTATTGAACAGATTTGGAAGTTTGTGTTTTTCAGTTATTGCATTTATTGACACAAAATCCTAATATTTGTCATCTATTCCATGGAAAAAGGACCGGCAATGATGGCCCTTCTCTTGTCTGATACTTGTTCTTTGCAGCTTCTCTCGTCTCTCTGGAGCTGTCTAGCTGGAGATGTATTCATGTTACTGGTCAGATTTATATCCTGACTGCCCGGCTGCCCACCGAAGGAGCAGGCACAGCGGCAAGTCTGCAAGGAGGCTGCTGCAGCACCTCCGTCCCTGGGCTCCCTGGCGGGTGGGAGGGCAGTGATCACATTCTGGGTGGGGTCTGAAGGTAGAGTCAAGAAGTTATGATAAGAGACCAGACATAGATCAGAAAAGGGACACAGAAAAAAAGAGATAAGGATGATCCAAGAGGGTTTGGCTCAAGCACTGGAAAAGCAGTTTCTATTTACAGATGGAGAAAGCTGGGGGGAATCTGGACCTGACATTTGGGAAGTCCTTTCTGGAATACGAATGGACCTCTGAGCGAGGATGGTGCTGGCCCCGTGGGCTGCAGTCGAGCCCAGGGCTGAAGTCTGTACTGAAAATACAAAACTGGAGCTTGAAATCTTTAAAGCCTTGGGATCGAGGGATGATGGAAACAAAGAGAACTTGGTGAGGCTCACAGGCTCGCTGAATTTGGAAGAGAAGAGGAACCAGAAAAAGAGACACAGAAAGGTCTCAGATAGGCCGGCGTGAACTGAGGAAGGACCGCAGAAGGCCTACACAACGCGGAAAGAGTCTCCCCTCAGTATGGAGGCCATGCGGGCTGCCAGCGAGAGCAGAACTGGGTGTGGCCCGAGCCCCAGGGAGATCGTAACAGAGAACCAGACACCTCCCAGGGAGCTGGCTGACACCAGGGAAGTGAAAACCAGGGAAACCACCACGGGAAAGAGGAGCGCTCTCCAGAGATGGGAGAAGAGTGCATCTGTAGAGACACCAATGATCCAGGAGGGAAAGTAAAACTGGCAGGGCGAGGAACTGATGGGTGGGCCACAGAACGAGACTTGGTGCACCCCTAATAGGACAGACACCGAGCACCGTGGACAAGGGCAGGAACCAGGCATGGGCAGGGCCCCTCTGGTGGCCAATCTCTGAGGAGGGGGAGGTGGCAGCGGAAGCCGTCTGGAGCGCCATTTGCTCCTTGTTGAGGTCCTGTCGATCGGCCAGTAGAGGACCTGACGGGTTAGGCACGTTCCAGGAAGGGGCGAGGGACATGCAGATGTCTCACTGCAGAAGGGCACAGGCCATGGAGAAGCTGGGTCCACCACTAGCTGGCTTTGAAAACCCTGGGCGAGTCACTGAGCTTACTTACCGGAAAGTGACATCACCCCAGCGCTGACATGCAGGGGCTAAAAGTGAGACCCCAGCAGAGTGGGTGCTCAAAGCCTTCCAGACAGAGCCAGCACCACCCCCTCCTCCTGCACACCCACATAGACTGGCTCCTGGTGGTGGCTTGTGGCCCTGGCTTGGTGTCCCCTCCCCCAGGCCGCCTGCTCACCTGGGGCCAGCTTGATCTCCAGTGCAGTCCGGATAAGGGCCATCAGCGTGGACGTGAAGTGGACCGTCATGTCCTCGTTGGAGATGGGCATGTTCATGCGGACCAGGCGCTGGGGACAAGCAGGGGCAGGTGAGGGCCAGGCCTTCTGAGGGGCCCCACCTACAGCTACACAGTGCTTGGGGTCCCTGCAGAGCCTGGCCCAAGGAAAGCTGAGAGGATGGGCAATTTGCCAGCACTCACACCACCCTAGACCCGCTCTCCTCTGACCTGGGCTCTCCTGGCTATGGAGAAGCAGAGCACCAGGTAAAGGTGACCTCACGGGGCAGGCCAGGTGCCTTGGCTGCTCTGGAAGAATGACGCATCTCAGCCAGGGTCCGCCCCAACGAAAGGCGAGTGCCTTGGCTGAGGAGGAGGGCTCAGGGCTGAGGGCCCAGGACCTCAGAGTTCTACCCTAGTCTCTGCCACCGCAGGGCTGGGGGAGATTCCTGGAGGTGACCCTGACTTGGGCATTCCTTGGGGTGACTTCGGCTTCAGCTCGGACCCAGCAAGGCTTCTGTCTCTTGTCACCAGCTGGGGGACTGAGAAGGGACACCTGCTGCCAGGTGGAGACAGAGCCCGTCTTAGCCCGAGGCAGGAACAGAGCAGGTGAGGCTGCAAGGTCTCAGGCCCGCCACAGGCGTAGGGGCAGGGGGTGGGGGCGCAGTGGCTACGGTTTTGCCTCAGCCCCTCAGATGGGTAGTTTTCAGGAACCATCTAGAGAAAGGTATACTGCAATCCTCCAGCCAGCAGAACTCGAGAGGCCTGAGGGGCAAACAGGTCTCGAGTGCATCTGGGGAACACCACATGGAGCCCTGGGCACACATGGCCATCCTGTCCTCTGCCGAGGGTGGAAGCTAGAGACAAGAGCTGTCTCTAGGGTCTGCTTTCCCTCCCAAGCCTATATCCTGTGGCAGGGCAGCCCCTCAGGCCCTTCTCTGAGAAGCCCTGGTCCCAAATCCAGAGTCCTTGGAAGGCTGGCTGGGCAGGAGGTTGCAGGGTGCTAGAAACACACACCAAGTCTGTGCCCTGAATGCTGGCAAAGCCCACCTGGCCAGTCCACTTGGTCCCAGGCCCTCATGGTCACATTGTATGTCGCACAGCAAGTGTCCCTGCAGACCAGCAGGTGGCCGAGGAATTCCTCTCCCAGAGAGGAGTTGGGGGCAGGAGTGCGGAGGAGCAAGCACATGGCTCCCATGGAGGAAAGCCCTGTCCAGGCACTGAGAGCTGCCCCTGGGAGGCCCACCTGCCCAGGGATCACAGGGTGCAGGTGAGGGACGAGGCCAGGGCAAACAGGCGCCTCTTTCCTGGGTCCCAGACCCTTCCCTGTTCACCCAGGCCCTTGCACACCCCTCACCCTCAAGGCCATCCTCGGTCTCTTCATGCCCAGAACTCAGCTTGGGAGGACTCCAAAGGCCACCCCTTCATGGCCATGCTTGCTGGCCCTGGCCCGAGGTGCCAGTGTGGACAGGGCTCTCCCTCTTGGGGACAAAGTGACAGCCTTGCATGCAGGGCCTCCAAGCACATGCATGTCATGGGCGGGGGAGGGGCTGAGGAGGGTGCCAGATGCATCTGTGACCTGAAGGAGCCACTCGGCCCCCACAGGTGACAGACCAAGACCTAGACCCGGGTAGAGACGGACAGCGTGCACAGGAGATGCCCACAGAGTCAGACAGAAGCGCTGGTGGGGAGCTCTCAGACAGAGGGAGACGGAGCGGGGCTCTGGCTGCAGACTGTGGCGCGAGTGGAGCTAGAGGGGCAGAAGGTGCTTCCGCTGAGACTCGGTCGGAAGGATGCCAAGAGCGGGGGACAGGTTTAGAGTTGAGCCGTGGGCTGCTTCCCCAGCAGCGGAGAGGGAGGGGGCCCTGGTTTACTCTCCTGGGACTTCTGGCCCTCTGAAGCCCCAGGAAGGAAGCAAGTCGCCACCTCTTCACACCCCCCTCCTAGTGCCATAGCAGCTCCAGGCTCCACTGCTGAGCACCCAGCCCAGACCCTCTGCACTTGCTGATGGAGGGAGAACGTGCCAGGTTGGGGCCTGGATGTCCCACCCCACTGGGGCTTAGGAACAGAGCAGCCCTGAGCCTGGAACAAAAACAACCTGTCGGAAAAACGGGTTTGTCCTGGGGGCTGGGGGAGGCAAGGGGGCGGCTGGGGTGAGGCAGGGGACCAGGGGACCAGGGCGGAAACAGTCACATCACAGTGGCCGCGTCCCTCTGTCTGGGAAGGAAGCAGAGACAGGTGGGGTAGGGAAGAAGTAATGAGGCAGCCAGGCACAGACAGCAGAGGGGACGAACAGCTGGGCAAGCCCTGAGGAGGGAGGCGGCAGCCTGGAGAGCACTGGGCCCAGCGGAGACCCCAGCAGCACCTAAGGGTTAGGGTTAGGGTCTACCTTATATGCAACTCGAGCAGGGCATTTCTTCCCCAGCCCCAGAGGTGGGGACATGTGTTTCAGCATCTCAAACATGTCATTGTAACTGATGCGCCCACTGGAAGCCCGTCCCAGGGAGGCCAGGGCAGAGGGGAGGTCCGCAGGGGGCAGCGGGAGGGGACCGGGAGGGAGCAGACAAGAAAACAGATCGAGTTAATCCAAGAGTCAGACGAAACGCCCAGAATCAAAGTAAGTAAAATGAGGGATTTCTCGCCTGGACTTGACCCCTCCTTGCCCCCTCCCTGGAGCCCCACCTCCTCGTCAGCCCCTGGCAGGGCAGGTGGGGTGACCTCTGAGCTAATGAACATGGAGGGTAGGGAGGGCTGCATCAGGGCGGCTTTGGGTTGTGAGTTTCTGCTTTTACTATTTAGAAACCACAGGTGATGCCAAACGAGAAAGTCCACCAAGCCGAGGAGCCGGCAGGCGTGTGGCAGGGGAGGGC